TAAGATTTATCGTTACGTAACTCTTACAATAGTAAAAAAGCTTTCAACCCTTTGCGCTGCTTATCTTTTAATCATGCAGAGACCTCGGTTTAAAATTGTTAGCGAGCACTCAGTTGTTCCTTATTTGCGGGGAAATATTAAACCGCAATCGTCGGATGCAGAATGGACTCGAAAATTCTACTTAAACTCAGCGATTTAAATTCCGCTATTTCATTCTTCAGTGAGACTGAACGTTTATTTGCCAAAAAATCCATCACACCAGTTTATGACCCTTAAACAAAGGAAACATGTTTTCCGTGTAAAAACGTGCGCTGCATTATAACGGAGAACAAAACGGGAACAAGCAAAAACACATGCCGTCACGAGTCACCAACCCTTTTCAACAAGACCGCCTTTTTTTAAACACGAACAATACAGGTCTTAAGAGGGTTGAAAACAGATGGTCTTGTTTTCACGCTCACATCAAAAAATTTCCATTTCGCGTTGTGAAAAAGCAGCTCGATACGCTGTTGTGCAAAACTTCACAGCAAAAAGTTCACATCGAGTAACCGCGGCGGTGTAAAACGTACCACATATATAGTATTGCCTCAAATACTTTCCTGCTCGCCATTTTAGGAAACAATTACTATCAAAGCCAACTAATGAACTCTTATTATTGCATTTTTGTAATTGCGAGACACTCCTTTAACTCGGAAAAACAACCTTTTGGCTGCTTGCCCTGACAAACAGCGGAATGAAAAACATGTTTTTGAGTTTTAGGAGGCAAGCCGAAAAAGCCGCCCTACCATGCAAATTAAGAAAAACAACCACAAAAACAACAAAATTGGTCATTTGTTATCAAAGCAACGCCTGACGTAGATATTCCCAGATATTAATTTGAAAATGCATTTTTCCCTTCTCTTCGTTAACAGGCTGTTCACACAAAAAGGCTGATTCAACGGTAATGGATCTTCTGAGTGCAGAAATTTGAAGAACGTCCCTCGAGAAAGAGACAACAGCATGAACGTCATACTTCAAAGACTCATTTTGCATTTTTCCCACAACAACAGCGACATTTCCCTAAGATAAAATCTTGATACATCTCAGATTTAAACTCGACTCCTTTCTCGGGGGAGGAAGAGAAAAGAACTTGGAAACGAGGTCGAAATTTGAACGCACTGGCTAAGAATGACTCAAGGTACGTTGGAAACGGGGGACAAAAACGTACAATTGCTGCAAAACTTGACTTGCTACAAGTCAACCTCTCATAAGTTCTCAAAAACGAGCGAAGCGAGCTTGAATGAGGTTGCGCAGGATAAGTAACCAGGAAAAAAAAATTACAGGACTCTTAAAAAGTCTACGACGAAATGAGTTGAATTGCCATGTTGTGTGTCTTGCAAAAAAACGTCAGGTTGTTGTAAGTTGCGAAATCTTGTTGCAGAAAGTAGAGAGTAGTTCTTCTTTTTGCAACAAAACCTGTACATCAGTGCCGGATCCAGGGGAGGCCCCCCCCCCCCCCCTCATCTCTCACCACAAAAAACTTCCCCCACGCACAAAACATACCTTTCTTATCGCCCTGTTCCCTTCTATCCTCCGGTCACCGGGGGGGCCCCCCCCCCCCCCCTTATTCTTAGACCAAAATGAGGCCCGAAGGGCCGAAAAAATATTTGTTTGAGATTGCCGCCCCCATCTATCTCAGGGTCTGGATGATGACCGGGCATGCCCCCTTATCTGAAGGTCTGGATCCGACACTGTACATGTTGGGCGTTTGACCGGTTCAAGACAAACTTGTTGTAATTCCTATGTATGGCGTGACTCTTACGTAATTTTATCCAGTCAGAGGTTAGTGTTCACGCAACTTGCAACAGTCTGATTTGCTGCAAGACAGGCTTAAACGTGGGTGGTTAATATTTCCCCGATTCTGATTGGATAAAAGCACACGTTTAATTCACTTACTGATGACCAAATTTGGAAGAATTTTGTGTTTAACGAGGAAATAACGTGAAAAATGCAGCCTTCTACAGGTTAATGAACCGTTAACCGAGAAGACCTGGGGATGAGGTTGAGTTGTTTTGGTTGTGAAAACAAAAATGGCCGACACTTCACTCGTTTCAAGAGTAAGAACTACAGCTGGAACTAGGCGAAGTAATAGTTAAAAACATAGCAAAAACAGCAAGAAGACAACTCGGAGGGCGACATCTACTATTTGGAGCATATTTGCGGAGCTGGACAAACCTAAACGTACACTATGGAAGATGAACATCGATGGATCGATGGAAGTAAGCATGTTTTAGCTATGTTTTTAAACTAGGAATTATTTTGAGTGAATAATAAAACAATTATTGAAATTCGGCTTTCGTATCATATGTAGAATTATGAGATCTCGGAGGGTGTTATCCGCCTCGGCCACACCGTCCTCGATCTCCATAATTCTTCATAAGATACTCAGCCTCATTCATTAACTGTTAAATGACTGATCCTAACCAGTATGCGGTTCAGATATTCTGAGAATCGCGTTGCTATTTCGTAAACAATTTTACTTCAGCCACTAATCAAGGAGTAGTCTTCATGGCGTTCCATTTGTGGTTTTGCTGTTTTCATAGATTCTGACATGTCGATTCAATCCCCCCTGAAGAGGTGGCAGTTGTACTCCTTATAGTGGGCGTATGTAAGGAGGCTCCACCCAGAAGGGGTTCCTTTTTAAGGCTCCAAGAATATAAAAAGGTACGCATTTCACAAGTGTATGAAAGAGTAGGCAAATCTGTTATTTAGGTCTGTAAAGGGACCTAAAAGGGCTAACAAATGCATCTCACGGCTATGAAAAAGACAAGAAACTTCCTGGTTTAGTGATTTATTCATATTTGAAAGACGGTGTATGTACAGCAGACGTAAACTAAGTATGTGAAAGGGGTACTATTTGTCATTATAAAATAACTAAGATAGTACGCGCGCTCTGATTAGCCGAGAGAAATGGTTGCATGAGAGTATGTAAACCTGGTTGTGGCGTCAAGTTGTTTGGATTTTCGCGCACTAATCACGCAAGCACAAATTTGAAAAAGTCTTCGAGTTCAAAACTCAAGAAGCTTACTTTACAAGCACAAATTTGAAAAAGTCTTCGAGTTCAAAACTCAAAAAGCTTACTTTATTTACCCATTCCTTCGTCGGCTGAAACTTGGAAAATCGTTACAAAGAAGGTGTGTACATTTTTCTTCGCTTAAGCTGAGCGTTTTAAGCGAGAAAAATCCGTATTTTGCAAAGCATCTTTTTGCAAAACAAGAACTGATTACGCGTGCAAGACTTCGTGGACAAGATTTTGCGACTGGTAAGAATTTTTCTTTTAGTCAGAGCCATACAAAGAGTTTTGCGTTTTTTTCTCTGGAAAGTTATTTTATAAAAGCAATAGAAAACTTTTTTCCTGTGTTTGCATAGCCTGATATAAACACTCGAGGCGTTGAGAGAATTCTCGACAGTTATGCAACCCTCGACTTCGTCTCGGGTTTGCATAACTGTCTCGAATTCTCCCAACCCCCCTCGTGTTTATATCAGGCTATGCAAACACGGAAAACGTTTTCTATTGCTTAAATAGAAGGCATACGAAAGGGATACATTCTCACGTCAAAAATGGTATATAAAAATGTGAGGCGTTGGACCTCCGGGCGGGGCCTCCCCGTATAAAGCTTTGTTGAGTGCCCCATTCCCCGAATTCTATTCGGCGCTGTCGACTTCCACTGCATCTTACATTTCTTCCCTGGCAATCTCGCTTAAACCTTTTTGTCGTGTTACTGTTTTTGTTCTTTTACTATTTTATGGATTGAAAGTATTGCACACTTTAACAACTCAGTGACTCAAAAATACCGTACAAGTAACATCGCGTCAATGTTGAACTCCTTAAAAGACAAGTCTTTTCTGATAATAGGCGATAGCAATCGATATCAGAAATCGATACTAACCGATGATTGAAATCAGTTGTTATTGATTGGTATCGATTATCGGTTTATCAATGGACTACGCCTGATTATAATTGAATCAGTTCATCGCAAGTTATGATTTGAAAGTGGAAGATACTGTTTACCAAAAAAAAAAAAAAAAAAAAAACCTGAGAGTATGTCAGAGTTGTTCCTATAGCTTTTCCTGTTTACACATCGTGATCAACATAAAGATCTTAAGCAACAATAAATGATAAGAAAACTAAATATACTGATTTATATTTATATTGTTTCCCATCAACTGTGGATAAAGAATAAATTAATGTTTGGCCTCCTCAATCTGACGAATTAAGGATTTGATAATTTAAGAAACGTCTTGAACTAGAGACTACGGTCAAGCTGGGGCAACGTTATCACCTCAGTCGCTAAGCAGAAAATAAACAGAGAACAAAACAATTTTAAAAAAATCTCACGATAGTTTGTGTTACTAGTTACAGATGACCACCGAAGATTCTTTCTTTTCTCCAAACAATTTTCCGTCTTTGACAAAAGTCTGATCTCTGATAAATGACAACCTTTCTTCAACAAACTCTTTCTTCCTCAGTATTACGAAAATTTTCCGTTTGCGTCAAGAAGTCGAGTAGCAGATTTCCTTCGATTGAATGCGGATCAAAGACCTCGGTGACATCAATTGAATATTCTTGGTCATGAACCTCAATCTTCCATCCGTTTTTGTTGGCAATCTGGATCATTTTATCAACTACGTCGTAAATCTCCCTTCCCACATGCCACTGCAGTTTTTGCTGCAGTTTTGACTCAACGCTACTAATAAGATCTCGCCTGGACGTGATACAGATTATTTTTCCTGTACCACTAACTTCTTTTTCAAAACAATGCAGTAAAGCTTTCTCGATGTCTATATAATATATGCTGTGTATGAAATGCACAATGTCGAAACTGAGGGGTTCTCTGTGGCTTTGTTGATACTCTTCAAAGGACTGCTGACAGATGTCAAAAGCCGTTTTCCCATCGTCTAGCGGACTTGGTAGATTTTCAATGGCTGCTTTGTACAGGCCACACGAAGATAGGTTAGGT